ATGTATATTCCTTAGCTTTGAGATGGTGTATTCTATATATGTCCATTAATCCCATTTGTCCTGGGGTCACGTTTAAGTCCTTTGTATCTTTGTTTAGTTTTTGTTTAGAGGATCTGTCCAGTTCTGTCAGAAGGGTGTTAAACTTCCTGACTATGATGGTTTTATGGCTATCATATTGCTCAGACCCATCAAAGTCTGTGTCATAAATCTGGGAGCATTTAAGTTGGGTGCATAAATATTTAAAATTGAAATGTCTTTTTGTTGTCTTGTTCCTTTGACCAATATAAAGTATCTATCTTTGTCTTCCTTAACTTTTAGTTGCTTTAAATCTGCTTGTACCTGAAAATAAGATTGCAACTCCTCCTTTCTTCTGATTTCTATTTTCTCGAAATACTGTTTTCCATCCCTTAACCCTGAATCTTGATTTGTCAAGACTAGCGGTGTCTTCTGGAGACAGCATATGGATGGCTTGTACTTTTTTATCCAGTCAGCCAGCTTGTGCCTCTTCAGTGGTAAATTAAGTCCATTGGCCAGCCTGTGCTTCTTCAGTGGTGAATTCAGTCCATTGACATTTATTGAGAGAATTGATAGTTGTGGTGGAGTTCTATTCATCTTATTTTGTGAATGTCTGTTATGTAGTTTTATCCTTTGCGCCATTGTGGAAACTTAATTCTGGCCTTTAGTTTCTGGGTGTTTACTTTGCTGGTGGTCCATTGTGGTGATCAGTGCTGAGACTAGGTCTAAGTATTTCCTATAGAGCTAGTCTTGTTGTGGCAAATTTCCTCAGTGCTTGTATATCTGCAAAAGATTTGATTTCTCCATCAATTTTGAAGCTAGTTTAGCAGGATACAGAATTCTGGGCTAGAAATTGTTTTGTTTAAGAATGTTGAATGAAGGTGGATGACCATGCTCTTCTGCCTTGGAAGGTTTTAGTTGAAAAGTCTGTATCATCCTAATGGCTCTGCCTCTGCAGGTCAATTGACACTTACTCCTGGCTGCTTGCAGAATTTTTTCTTTCATCTTGACTTTGGAAAAGTTCATTACAATGAATCTTGGAGAGGCTGTATTTGAGTTGAGATGACTCAGGGTTTGATATCCATCTGAAAGGAGTGTGTTGGGGTTTTTAGTAAAACTTGGGAAGTTTTCATTTATGATAGTCTCCAGTAGGGCTTCCTTTTGGAATCTTCTTCCCTTTCAGGAATCCCTATTATTCTTATGTTATAGTGCTTCATGGAGTCTCATAGTTGTCTAAGTGTCCATTCTGTTTTCTCTCTCTTCTTTTCTGTCTCTTTAACTACCTGGGTTAACTCGAAAACTTTATTCTCTAGATCTGAGGTTCTTTCTTCTCCGTGGTCTAACCTATTTTTGATACTTTCTTCTGCATCTTTAAATTCCCTGATTGTCTCCTTCATTTCCTTAAGCTCCATCATATCCTTTCTACATCCTATATATCTCTCAGAACCAACTTTTGGTTCTGTCTTTCCATTTTTTCACACACTCCTTTTATCGTCTTTATTTTTAAATTCCCTTTTTGTCAAGTCCGTTAATTCTTTATAGGTGGAGTCTTCTGCAGTAACTGCCTCATGGGGAACTTGGGGGAGTTCCTCTTTTTTGTCTTCTCATGTTGCCCAAATTTTTCTGTGGGTTCCTCCTCATGTTTTCTTTCTTCTTGTTCACCTCCTTGTCCCCTTTTTTCCTTCTCACTGCCTCTTTTGTTTCAAACAGAAGTCCTTGCTGTTGATGACAGTATATTGCAATATGTCACCAGGATACCAGGTTGCACTGTGGTTTTTCTTAGGAGACAGAGAACTCTGTGGTCTTTAATCCAAATTTAGTTACCTTCAGTGATTGCCTAATTGTTTCCTCAGCATTCAGACCTGTGGGGATGGGATCTTAAAGCTCACAAGAATCCTTCAGAGGCAGATCTCACATTGCCCCCTGATGCCAGTTCTCTGGAATGCGAGAGTCCCTCAGTCTGTCCCAAGAGTGGAGTTCTCATCTCGGCAGGCAGAATTAAGATGCTGTGCTGAATTAAGACTTCTGCTTAAGAATTAAGGCTTCTGCTAAGACCTTCTCATGACCTTCCTGCAGTGGCAACCCCTTGGCTATCTCACCAGCCACCAACCTATGGAAAGTCCACTCCAACTGGCATTCAAATCTGGTTGTTGTATACTGTTCAAGTCCTCCCACTCTTCCAAGCTTTCCACTCAACATGCAGCTTCCCCCAATTACTGAAATCTCTAGAAAGGCTTCCTCTCATCCCAGACCTCTGTGGAGAGGCAGCTGATCCCAGCCAGTTGCAATCACTTGCCTAATTCATCAGATTTCCACTGCCAAGAACCATATGCTGTATCCAGCTCACTACTTCCTTGCTGTGCTCCCTGAGCAATGACTCTGGGTAAGGTGCTCACATCAGGTATGGCTGTTCTCTCTTTTTCCCCAATCATTCTGGGAGAGCTCAGCTGAATGATCCTTCTAGTCTCCCATCTTGATCCTCCATCCCAAGATACAATTCTTTAATCAGATACATACTTCTAAAATATTTTCTCCCAGCTTGTGTCTTTTTAATTCTCTTAATAGTCTTTCTTAAAAGGCAAAAATAACACATTTTGATGAAGTCTAATTTGTCATTTTGTTTTTTCTATGATTCTTTTTGTGATGGCCATATATAGGGAATCTTTGCCTAAACCAGCGTCACTAAGGGTTTCTCATAGAAGTTTTTAAATTTAGCTCTATTTTCCATTTTGAATACTTATATGGTATAATATGAGGGGTGGATGAAAATTTTTTTTATTTTGTTTTTATAAGTGAATATCCAGTTGCTCCAGCACCATTTGTAGAACAGACTAATCTTTCTCCAAGGAATTGCTTTTGTACTTTGTCAATAATCAGTTATTTAGGCCAGGCATGATGGCACATGTCTATAATCCTAGCACCCTGGGAGGATTGTGTTAGCTTAGGTGTTCAAGACCAACTTGAGAAAGAGATAGACCCTGTCTCTACTAAAAATAGAAAAAAAAATAGCCAGTCTTTGTGGCAGGCACTTAAAGTCCCAGCTACTTGGGAGGCTGAAGCAAGAAGATCGCTTGAGCTCAAGAGATTGAGGTTGCTTTGAACTGTGATGATGCCATGGCACTCTACTCAGGGGTACAGAGTAAGCTGCTGTCTTAAACAAACAAAAAAATCAGTTATTTGATGTGTGTATGGGTTCATTTCTGGACTCTCCTTTCTGTTCCATAGCACTATTTGTCTATCTTAACAATGCAAACTGTCTTGCTTACCATAGCTTTATAGTAAATCTTGGGGAAAATTCATGTTAATCCTTCAACTCCAAAGTCTTTTTAGTGTTCTAGGTTCTTGGCATTTTCAAATGAACTTTAGAAATAATTTAACAATTTCTACCAAAAACATATTTCCATCAACATCCTTGAGTTTTGTTATCTGGTACAGTTAAGTTGCTTGAAAGCAGTTTGGTTCTTTTAGGTCTTACTTTTTATGATTTGTTAACTGTCTGAGTAGTGTTCACTCTAGGGCTAATTATTCCCCACTACTTCAACAAAAGCCCTTGAGTGCTCTCTCCAGTGCTTCATGAATTGTTTTTCTAATTTGGTCAGTGGGAATAGGTGCTGCCAACCCTGTGTAAGCACAAGACTTCATTCCTTATAATCTTATTGGAGTATTGCTCTGCAAACTCACATAGTTTTCCTACACACATGCTAATCAGTATTCTCTCCCCATATCTGAGGGAGTCCCTCTGCTAATCTCTAGGGTCTTCTCGTATGTAGCCTTCTCATCAGAAATCTGTCAACCCTAGCCATCTTGATCTCCCTAAATTCTCAGTTCTACTTCCTCAACTCAGGCAGTCTGACCAGATATCTTCTGAGTCTCCCCTCTGTACATGGTATCCTGGAAACTCTCTCAAAGTAATAATAAGCTGGGGCAATTGTAAGTCTTGCTTTGTTTATTTTGTATTTTTTCTATCTCTCAGGAATAGCTTTTATTGCCTGAGTCTTGTCTCTTTTTCTTTTTTTGAGACAGAGCCTCACTCTGTTGCTATGGCTAGAGTGCAGTGACATCAGCCTACCTTACAACAACTTCAAACTTCTAGGTTTAAGGCTTAAACTTTAAGCAATCCTTCTACCTCAGCCTCCTGAGGACCTGGGACTACAGGTACCCAACACAGTGCCCAGCTAGTTTTTCTATATTTAGTAGAGATGGGGTCTTAACTTTTGCTTAGGCTGATCTCAAACTCCTGAGCTCAAGAGATCCTCCCACTTCAGCCTTTCAGAGTGCTAGAATTATAGACATGAACCTGTCTCTTGGTTGGAAGTAAAAGTTTTAACAACAGTTATTCATTTTCTACCTCAGTGTCAGTGGGGTTCAATTGAGAGTTGGTTGGGCTAATCTAATTTCTACATGTCTCTCTCTCTCTATATATATATGTGTGTGTGTGTGTGTGTGTGTGTATATATATATATATATACTTATGTGTATATAGATATACACAGACATGTTATTATTATTTTTTCCCTAATGAACATTATTTTTTCCTTAAAGAATGTTTCATTTAGTTGAAACTAGAAATCAGACTTTTTTTTCTTTTGAGACAGAGTCTTACTCTTGCCCCAGGATAGAATGCCATGGGGCATCATAGCGCACAGCAACCTCAAAGTCTTGGGCTCAAGCAGTCCTCTTGCCTCAGCCTCCTGATAGCTGGGACTATAGGCACCCTCTGTGATGCCCAGTTAGTTTTTCTGTTTTTAGTAGAGATGGGGTCTTGCTCTTGTTCAGTCTGGTCTCAAAACTCCTGAGCTCAAGCAACCACCTGCCTCAGCCTTCCAGAGTGCTAGGATTACAGGGGAGAGCCACTGTGCTTGGCCCTGAAAATCATTCTTTAAGTTTCACAAATAAGTCATGGGTATAGTATTAAAATGAATGTTTTTTTTAAAGTAACTACGGAAATTATCATTTAACACCTTTATTTTTTCCTTAAAAATTAGAAGACAATGTATATAAAAATATGCAAGAATCACAGGAAACCCACATATCCAACCACCTAGATGAAATTGTTGCTGCTGTCAGCATCACTCCAAGACAGAAGATCCATAACAAGTTGCCTCAGACAGCGCTGTTCCAGCTTCCCCGAGAGAAACTCCACCTCTGTGAAGAGAAAGCAAAATCCTACACCAGCAGTCACAATGTAAGGAGGCCTTTATATTGTACACTTCTATTCTGGGAATTGAGCTATAGCATGTGATTGGGAGAGGTTGGATATTTTAGGTTACCTTCCTAAGTGCAAGCAAGTATGTAAGAGAGCACCTTTATTATAGCATGAGTGAGTGTGGTGCCTTGGGGGCAGTAGTACTGGTCAGCAGCACTTGGCACAGCCGGCGTTAAATATGTGTTGAGCTACTATGTGCTGAGTGTAGGCACTGGGATTTAACCCAAACAAACCAGATGAAGCTTCTGCTCTCACATATCTTATAATTCTTTATATTTCTAGTTTTCTTTTCTGTGTATTTCTTTCTCATTATTTCCTCAAAAGCTTCTCATTCATTCACTCTGCATTTCTCTACCACCTCTTGTGTGTCCCATCTTGTTTTTCCAGTCATTTCATTCAGAAATATCTATTATGTGCCAGGTCCTGTATGCAGGTGCATGCTGGGGGCAAAGAAGGGAAAACTACTGCCTCTGCTTTTGAGGGCTGCATGATTTGGTTGAGAAGATAAGTAGGGGCCAGATAATGGTAGTGAACGTGATAGTTCTGTAAGGACACAAGCTCAGGGTAGTATAGATGCAAAACAGAAAGAGGCTGGCAATGAGCCTAGAGGTGGGAGAGGGACAGCAGTTAAGGGTCACATGTTGGGATGGGAGTTACTTGGACTGCACTGGTAAAACAGTACTTAGGAAATTGGCAGATGAGGACGAGGCCATGGTGTTCAAGGCAGAAGCAGCAGTTGAACAAGAGACAAGGGTCTGTGAGAGTGACGTCTATTTGGGGAACTACAAGGACTTGTCTGGGGCAAAGGCTTTAGTGACCAAAGGGAAGAAAGGAGGCTGGATTATAGACAGGAACTAGCCGCTGGGCCCTCCCTATGTCTAGTTAGAGTTTTAATTTTCTCCTAATGGTGTGGAGGATGATCCTGGGCTTTCCTCATGAGCAGGAGAGTGCCATGTGAACAGATTTCAGTTGTAAGGATAACCACTTCCATAGTTGTGGAGGGGTATAGATAAGAAAAGAATAAAACTGGAAGAGCAGCATCAATTAGGAGGGTGTTTGGAATAATCTTGGCAAAGAGTAGGAGGGTCTGAACTGTGTACATCAGCAGCGGTAGAGATGTTGAGTTCTTTTGAAAGGAATTTTGAAAAGCAGTTCAGTGGGACTGGTTGAGTAAGGGGATAAAAAGGATAGAAAGGTGAGAGTGGCTCGGCGCCTGTGGCTCAAGTGGCTAAGGTGCCAGCCACATACACCTAAGGTGGTGGGTTCGAATCCTCAGCCCAGGCCCGCCAAACAACAATGATGGCTGCAACCAAAAAATGGCCAGGTGTTGTGGTGGGCGCCTGTAGTCCCAGCTACTTGGGAGGCAGAGGCAGGAGACTCGCTTGAGCCCAGGAGTTGGAGGTTGCTGTGAGCTGTGATGCCACGGCACTCTACCCAGGGGGATAGCTTGAGGCTCCGTCTCAAAAAAAAAAAAAGAAAGGTGAGAGTGAGGCAGAGGGACCTCCTGACTGAGGTCTCTGCTTGTGGGGTGAGGGCTTATCTGTGCCCTTCATCAACATATGCATACAGGAAGATCAGGATGCTGGAGATGGAGTGAGCATTTAGTTTTGAGTGTGTGCTTGTTTACTCTGCAACAAATTTTATTCAGCACTTACTCTGTGCCAAGCCCTGTGCTAGGTTCTCTGTCAGAGAATAAAGCCCTAACAGCTAAAAGTCATTTAACAAATGTGAAGGCTTAACTTCTATGTGTCTAGAATGATACTAAAACATTTCTGTGTCCTGTGGTTCAAATGAAGACCCTGGGATATAATGGTGACCAGGACAGGCAAGGTACATACCCTCATGAACCTCAGCAGCAATCAACATTGTAAATAAAACATAATTATAGACAGTGATAAGTGCTGAAGAGGAAACAGTGGGCCCATCTTGGGTGGGGTGAACAGGGAAGGCCTTGTGAAGAGGAGCAGATGACCTGAGATCTGAGGAAGACAAAGAGCTCTAGGGAAAAGAAACAGCTCCCATAAGATCTACAAGGTGGGCCCAAGCAGGACATGTTTGAGGTGAAGAGAGGAAGCTGTGGGCTGATGTGAAACCTGGTTAGGGAGGCTGTCAGTTCATGTAGGGCCAATGTAAGTACTGTGGGAGGACCCAAAAGTATTTTCAGCAAAGTATCAACATGACGTAATTGACTTTAAAAAATTTCCAGTTTAGGAGTAATTTTTTATTTTAAAATAATTTCAGGTTTACAGAAAAGATTTAAGATCTACCAGTTAACATTTGTTTTATTGCTTTATTAATCTCTCTCACCCTTTCTCTCTTATTGTTTCTCTGAACCATCTCAGAGTGAGTTACAGATATTACGATCCTTTACCTCTAAGTACTTCAGTGTCCTTTTCCTAAGAATAAAGATATTCTACACAACCACAGTACAATAAAACTAATTAAAAAATTATTAGTAATACAATACTATTACCTAACCTACAAGCCTTACCTGTATTTCTCCACAAATAATGTCCTTCACAAAAATAATGTCCATGGTCTAATTTGTGAAGTCATGTTGAATATTGTTATCATGTCTTTTTAGTCCCCTTTCTCCTGTAATACATTTTTTTTGCAGTTTTTGGCCCGGGTTGCGTTTGAACCTGCCACCCTTGGTATATCGGGCCGGCACCATATTCTTTGAGCCACAGGCGCTGCCCCCCTGTAATACTTTCTTAACCTACCATGTTTTTCATGATCTTGATATTTTTGAGAAATACACTGCAATTATTTTATAGACTGTCTCTCCATTTGATGCATTTGGGACAGGCCACAACCATAGATGTGGTGTGGAGCCATCCCAGTGTGTCATATCAGGAGACACCTAAGATCCATGCGTCTTGTTACTGTGATGCTAACTTTAAACACTTGGTTAAGGTGGTGCCTGGCAGGTTTCTTTACTGGAAAATTACTGTTTTTCTCTTTGTAATTAATAAGTATTTGGTGGGGTGATTCATTGAGATGATGTATATATTTAAAACTTCATCCCCTAGTTTTAGTACCCAGTGGGTGATTGTTCACCAAAATCGATTCTTACTATGATGTTTGGCATCTAGCAAGTCTTTCACTTCAGTGTTCTTTCAACACTTGTTTGTTGGTATCCTATTATAAAAAAGAGCTTTTCTTTTTTCATGTTTTATTATTCATAATTATTCCTTAATATATTATTGAATAATAATATTCATAATATTCAATAATGTTCAATAATTCAATATTCAATAACCATTATCAGTATGGTTTCAGGAAATTCCATTTTTCAAGTATGGTACAACCCATTGTTTTCATTGAATTTTAAATTGTCCCATATTTTCCAGTAGGACCACCTTCTAGCTGCCTCTGAGTCCTTGATCCATACCCTCATTCTTTGAATACTTCCTTAATTTTTGGCATGACAAGAGTTTGGGGTTCCTCTTATACCTCTGCTACAGCCCTGGAGCAGGGAATCTTGGTTCCTCTTAGTGGAGTAAAGTATGGGCATAAAATACCCATTTTTAAGTATATGTATGGCCAGCTCTACTGATCACCAGAGTTGCATAATTTTTTTTTTTTTTTGAAACAGGGTCTCACTTTGTCACCCTTGGCAGAGTGCCATGGTACCATAGCTCACAGCAATCTCAAACTCTTGGGCTCAAGCAGTTCTTTTGCCTCAGCCTCCCAAGTAGCTGAGACTACAGGCACCCACCACAACACCCAGCTATTTTTTGAGACAAGGTCTTACTCTGGCTCAAGGTGGTCTCAAACCCATGAGCTCAGACAGTCCACTCACCTCGGCCTCCCAAGTGCTAGGATTACAGGTGTGAGCCACTGTGCCCAGCCTCAGAGTTGCATATATTAATATTAAGAAGTCCTAGACTTAAGAAGAAATAGATCTCCTGAACAGACTGATTTTAAGAACTGAGATCAAAGAAATAAAAAATCTTCCAACAAAAAAATGCTATGGTCCAGATGACTTCACACCAGAATTCTATTAAACCTTGAAAGAAGGGCTTATACCCATACCATAGAAACTATTCATAAAAATTGAGAAGGAGATAATCTTCCCCAACACATTCTCTGAAACAAACATCACCCTGATTCCAAAACCAGGAAAAGACCCAACTAAAAAGAACTAAAGACCAATTTCATTAATGAATATAGATGCAAAAATTCTCAATAAGATCCTAGCCAATAGATTACAGCTTCTCATTAAAAAAGTCACACACCACAATCAAGTAGGTTTCATCCCAGGGATGCAAAGCTGGTTTAACATACACAAGTCTCTAAATGTAATTCACCATATCAACAGAAGCAAAAATAAAGACCTTGTGATCCTTTCAATAGATGCAGAAAAAGCACTTGATAAAATTCAACATCCTTTTCTAATTAGAACTCTGAAGAATATAGGCATAGGTGGCACATTTCTTGAACTGATTGAAGCCATCAGTCAATAAACCGACAGCTAATATTATACTGAATTGAGTAAAACTGAAAGCTTTCCCACTCAGAACTGGAATTAGACAAGGTTGTCTTCTGTCACCTCTACTTTTCAACATAGTGCTGGAAGTTCTAGCCAATGCAATCAAGCAAGAGAAGGTAATAAAGTGCATCCAAATGGGGGGGGGGGTCAGAGGAGGTCAAACTTTCACTGTTTGCCAACTAGATTATACTTAAAGAACCCAAAATAATCAACCACAAGACTCCTGGAAATGATCAAAAAATATAGTAATTTCTCAGGAAATGATTATCCACAAATCAGTAGCTTATATATATGCCAATAACAGTCAAGATGAGAAGCTAATCCAGGACATAATTTCTTTCACAATAGCTTCAAAAAAAAAAAAAAAAAGAAAGAAATACCTAGGAATGTACCTAACAAAAGAGGTAAAGGATCTCTATGAAGAAAATTACAAAACCCTAAGAAAGGAAATAACAGAAGATATTAACAAATGGAAGAATATACC